GCATATTATTCCTGTTGAGAGCATTGTGACCCTATGCTTTTCGAGCACAACAACATCATGCTCTCGGGTTTTCAGACATCTGAGCAAGTGCTGTGGTGCTTTCCCATTAAATATGTTATATATATATATATATATACATCTTCGATGTATTTTCGTCAGTCCTCTCAATTAAAAAGTTGCTCTGATTCTGGTATATAACTCGAATTCTATTTTTATTTTCAATGATTTTGAGTTTTAATTTTTCATTTTTCTCAAAATTGGTTAAAATGCATTATCCCTCGATTTAGAAAGTTTCTACTATATAATTTTTATATGTATTATGTATCATCATTATGAGTATTTTAACATGATCTTATTATAATTTCAAAAGGTATATTTTCATGCAAAAAAAATTTATTGAATTGCACTGGGTTATTAGATTAATATCATTGCAATTATTCTATTAGGCCTGACATGACATTTAGATGATATAGTTTATAAGATATGGTATGCATGTTGTAGCAATCATATTGGTAGGAAATATTAACTGAGAGCACGATGTTAAAATGATATATATATGTTAAATTGCATAATATACACATATGTCATACTATGCATAACATGTGAGATATATTATCAATGTGTGTAATTGCAAGAAAGGCTAGCTATGTATAGACTAATTTTGGTTAGTTGGAGCAAAATACTCTGTGTAGGAGGGTGGGCTAATTGACTTTTCTTTAAATAATGAGTTTGTAGTGTCATCCTAATGCATGATACAAGATAAATAGTTATAAGTAGATAAGATATGTCGACGAACAGGAGTGATGACTCTTACAAGATAGCCACCTAATAGACTGACACACATATACATGATATGATATGATATGATAATATACAGAAAAATGCTATATGATTAATCATATGTACTGACTTGACGTAATATGCACTTGGACATACATACATAACATGATTATTGAAGGTGATATTAACATGCATAAGCTATAATACACATAAAGCATGAAGAATAACGATATTGATACATATGCAAATACATGATTCATGAGATTAGTATAAACTGCATGCATAACATGATGCACATACATATTTGATAGGTCCTATAAATGATATTCATGATTTTACTCTGCATTGATAGTTGATAGAATTAAGGTGTAACTTCATTGCTCTAATAATTCACATGATAGTTTTTATGTAACCTTTATAGGATGATGAGGTAGAGCTGAGTTAATGATTACTAATCCTTTATAAAATTATGATTTCTTATGATACATATTACTCATGACCATGATTCACTATGACTGTCACTATTCATAATATTTACATGTATCAATAAGACACATTGTATTGAGATGACTTGAATGATTATATGCATATAATTTTACTATCGATGCATAGGGTGCAGTGGTAAGTTCTAGTGACCTACTAGGCTTCTGCTTATTATGTGATTTTTTCATGATTTCAGATAAGGATAATAATCAAGTGGAATGAGGCAAATCAGATTCCAATTCCAATTTAAGTATTTCATGTATTATGTTTTTTTTAATTAATTCTTTTATAGTTATGAATATATTAGAAATAGATTGATTAGATTTTTTTTTGCTAGTATATATGATTTTTTAGAACAAAATATAAATGTATTCATTTTGAAGATAAATAAAATGAAATTTTACATTTTCTATGTTCGCTATTTATATGGGCATTTATTAGTAACTTTGGTAGATTAACTAGGAGATAAAATAGACAATTCTTTCACATTTAAATTATCGAGTGTAACACTAATATGAGTCATTTGTTATTTTCTTATTTTAGCTTGGCTCATACTATCCAACAAAAATATAAAAATTCTTTTTAAATAATTATATATTATGATAATATTATTTAATCTAGATTTACTTGTGGATGCTTGGGTTGAGTTAAATGGAGGCCAATGGGAGCACAAGCCCCTCCACCCCTCACCCTCAATAACAATAACAACAACATCAAGTCTTTATCCCACTACGCGGGGTCGACTACATGAATCCTTTTTCTCCATTGTGTCCTATTAAAGGTCAAATTCTCGTTTAAATCTAATTAAGAAAGGTCATTCCTAATATTTTCTAACCAAGTCTTTTTAGGTCTGCCTCTACCTTTCTTAACATAAGTCAAATCTAATACCTCTACTCTCCTAATCGGGTCATTGGAAGGCCGCTGTTTTATGTGACCAAACCATCTAAGGAGACTCTCTCTAATCTTATCTTCTACTGGAGCTACTCAAACCTTTTCATGTATATGCTCATTTTGTATCCTATCTCTAAGGGTAAA